GTGTAGTGTATATAGAGGTGATTGCATAATAGCTCAAAAATAAAGTCTTGCTTTTGTATTATGTGTGTGGGTGGCTGTGGGGTTGGTGGTGGGTGGGGGGTTTGTGGGGTGTGGCTGTGTGTGGGGGATGTATGGGCAGAGTGGGGGAGGTGGTGTGAAGGAGGGCTGCTCTATCGTGTGGGGCTCCTCACCATTTCTGGTGGAGTCTTAGGAGCTGCACATGGCAGCAGGGAGTAGCAAAGGCCACCAGCTCCAGTGTGCGGGGCTTCCCACCCTGGTGGCACGTGAGTCCCAGAAGCTTCATGTGAGCCATGGGGAGCCCAGCACAATGGAACCAGATTGACCTGGGCTCTGTGCTCTCACCACCTTGCTCCATGCTTTTGCCCAGCTGCAGCTTCTTCCTGCCCTGCTCCCCCTGGGCACTTCTCTATCTGCTGCCTGGAGTGCTGCAGCAGGGACATGAGGAGAAGGTGGGGGAGCCAAGCAGTTCCCCCAGCAGCAGCAGCGGCCCCACCCAAAAGCCATTTGCTGGCTAAGGCCAGGCACGAAGGTGGGGGCGTGGCACGCTGCCCCAGCAGGAGCGGGCAGAGCTTGGGCCTCATGTGAGCGCAGCAGGGGCAGCCATGGGCCAGGTAGGATACAATTACTTGGGGGGTGCCTGCCTGTGGGATGGACGAAATCTGGTGGGCTAGATCTGGCCCACAGGCTGTATTTTGCCTGCCCCTAGGTGATTCACTAGTAAAAACAGCTGAAAAAATCCCAGAGCATATCACTGATACAGGCAGAGCCTAAAAGATCTGAGGTTCCATGGCAATCTGAAGCAGACCAGCAAAAAACCCTGGCAGGACAAAGGTATGATGGTTATCTCAGGTGGTGTGGAGGAGTGATGGAGGAGACCCTGGCGGCATGACAGAGATGTATTTAAGTAGACGGAATGTTGCTAGTTAAACATGTAACCGGTCCTGATTAATTCAACAGAACAGCAGACATATTTGCAAATTTAGCAGTTTGCTAAAACAGGTTTTCCAGAGGCAACATCCACAGCAGTGCTCCCTAGCATTGTACGTTATCACCAGTACACAGCATCGGTGACCAACAGGTCTCCCTACCCAGCCCTTGCTACTTTGGCTGGCATAAGTGGTGAAGCCCCAGAAGGGTGGCACCACCTGGCAGCAGGGAGCAACAGAGCCTCTGGGATGGGCCTCCCTACCCAGCACTTGCTATTAAGCTGGTGTAGGTGCTAGAGCCCCTGGATGGCAGCCCTGAGTAAGATTCCTTTCCCAAGTGATTGGGCTAGGTGGTAGCTCCCCAGGTTGGTTTGCTGCTATGGCTGTGATTGATTTTGAGCTACAGTTAAAAGTTAATAGTTAAGGTTTTGCTTGGAATGTATTCTTGGTCCCTTTTTCCCTTGTAATAAACCCATTTTAATTTCACATTGGCTTGTGAGTGGGTAGGTTTGTTCACATTAGAACAGTTCACATTTACTTTACCAGGTTTCTGGGTTGGGGCTCAAGGTAAATTTGAAAAGTTGTTATAGAACACCTATATTTGTACCCAGACGTTTTTACTGCCATCCAGTGCCTGGCAGAACAATAACATACAGGCCTCCCATGGTGGGTGCTGGGAGAGTCCCCCCCATGGCACAGGTTTGTGTTTTGCAGTAACCTGAAACAGGCTTTGCCACATAATTGTAATCCAGAGGCAGCTCCTTGTTCAAGGCCATGTTTAGTGCACAGGCCGTGGGGGCAGTCAGTTGGCAGCCTGGCACTCAAGAGCTGAGCTTTGGGTGAGGCAGTGCCATGCTTAGATTTCTTCAGGAGAGTCCCCTGGTGCCAGTGATGTGTGGTCTGGGATGATCCAAAATGGATTTTTCCTTATAATCGCAGCCCAAACTCAGTTCCTTACTCAGGCCAATGTTTAGCACACAGGTTTAGGGACTATCAACTGGCAGGCTGGGAGTCAAAAGCCTAGCTTTGGGTTGGAAAGGGACCTGCTCAAACTTCTTCAAGACAGTCCTCCACTGGTGGAGACGTGTTTTGGGGTGACTCTAAAAGGATTTTGCCCAACAATCTGGGCCCAGACTCAGGTTCTTATTCAGGTACATAGATATAGCACCCAGGCCTGGGTGGAGAGGTGTTAGGTTGGCAGGATGGCTCACAAAAACCAAGCTTTGGGCCAGGCAGTGCTCTGCCCAGGCTTCTCCAGGGTAGTCCCCCAATTGCGGAGTAGTGTGGTATGGGGTGACCTGAAGTGGGTTTTGCCTGATAATCCCAGCCCAAACAAGCTCCTTATTCATGGCAACGCACTTGGCGCACAGACATGTGGGGCCTTGAGTTGGCAGATTGGCATGTGAAAACTGAGCTTCAGATCAGGAGGGGGCCTACCTAGTCTTCCTCAGCACTATCCCCTGGTCGTGGAGAGGTGAGTTTTGGGGTGACCTGAAAAGGATTTGTCAGATAAACCCAGTCCAAACTCAGTCAAGGCAATGTACATAGCACACAGGCCCCTGTCCCTGTGGCAGAAACATGTAGTTTGGGGCAAGGATCCTGGAGCGAGGATTTTCACTCTTAATTCCAGCTCAAAATCAGCGCTATGTATGCTGCATACAGGCCTGGGGATTTATGAATTGACAGGTTGACATGCAAAAACCCAGCTTTGGGTTGGGCTGGAACCTGGCCAGACTTTTTCTGGACAGTTCTCCGGGCATGGAGCCGCATATGGTTTTTGGTGACCCGAAGTGGGTTTTGCCCCATAATCTCAGCCCAAACTCAGCTCCCTGTATGGGCCAGGCATGAATGCCGCGTGTCCCCGGAGGCTGGGTGGACACGGTGATCTCCCACAGGTGGTGTCGGCAGTGGTGTGTGGCGGCAAGCAGGGAGCTCCCACAGGCGGCCGTGATGGTGTCAGCAGCAGGGAGGGTGGCAAGTGCTGGTGACCACCCACAGATGCCACTGGCAGCTGTGATCGGGGACCACCTGGAATCATCACCGGTGGTGTCGGAAGGGGAGGGTGGTAAGCAGCGACTGCCTGCAGGTGCTGCCAGCAACATTGGCGCCGCTTTTTGCACGGGGTGCACTGCCAAGCTCAGGGAGTGCACGTGCACCCCC